GAGAGAGAGAGAGAGAGAGAGAGAGAGAGAGAGAGAGAGAGAGAGAGAGAGAGAGATCATCATCTTCCAAAAGTTGGAGGCTTTCAAATTCCCTCTACCGGAGGCCAATTCACAGAGAGAGAGAGAGAGAGAGAGAGAGAGAGAGAGAGAGAGAGAGAGAGAGAGAGAGAGAGAGAGAGAGAGAGAGAGATCATCATCTTCCAAAAGTTCAAATCCCCCCTACCAGAGGCCAATTTTGTGCTTGTGCAGATGGAAGACAAAGAATACTGGTCTGTTTTCCATGGACCGACGGGCGACCCTACTCATATCTAATTCTGGTAATCAGTCAGGATCGATCGGCTGACGTGCTGAATGAAGAAGACAAAGGCAAATGAAGAACTACTATAGCTATCGAGGCAGAGGCAGTCGTCGTCAACGCTTCTTTGATCATGATAGAGAAATCCATGAGGGCTGTTGAGAAGATGAGCAATAATTCACCGCCCAAGGAATCCTTGTGGTGCATGCTCTCCTCTCCGTTCACAAATGGACACGCCTACTGGCAGCTCGTTGCCTGGGTCTGGGTTGGAGGTGGGGTCGAGGTCGGGATCGGGAAGTGCACGTGAGACCGGCGGAATCGAAAGTGGCAAGCTAGCAGAAGTATTCCGGCCGTCGGATCCGGTAGAGGATCCAGAGACGTGTCCGGATGTAGGGGGACAGGAGAAGGAGGAGCTCACGATTGACAAAGTCCTTGTGCTACATGTTGGAGAGTTCGGGTTTGGGCAATTTTGGAATTTTGCCCTTGCTGCCATGTCATGGGTGATTGTTTCCTTAATGACCCTGGTGATGATGTTTACAGAGAAGGATGGGCAATGGACATGTGTGACACTGACTGCACCTCCCTTGGCTCGTCCGCCGCCTCCTCCTATCGTTGCTCTTTCTCCTGCTGTAGCCCTTCTTCGCCCCCCTCTTCTTCCTCCCTTTCCACCGCCCCCTAATCTCATGCAGAATCTGTCCAACTCTTCCTCCCAGATGCTCATCCCTAATGAGAACTGCACCTGGGGCAATTTCTCCGGGCCCAACGGAACCATCTGCAGCCGGCTTGACTCTCAGAATCAGGTCCAGGGGCGACCAATTGAGCAAACGACACCACGGCCAAGGTTCTATGAGGAATGTACCTCCTCGTCATCTATTTGCAGTCTGAATGGCAGCCAGTGGGAGTGGGTGGATGACGGAAAACACTCGATCGTTTCGGAGTTTGACCTAATCTGCAGTGACGAGTACAAATCAGGAATCTCAGGGTCCCTGTTCTTTGTCGGCCGCTTGCTGGGTAACTTCTGCACCCCTACTTTTAAAATGGACCGCTTTTTTTTTTTTTTTTTTTTTTTTTTTTTTTTTTTTAATTTCAAACAGGCCCTTATGGTCCTGGCTCCATGTCCATTCTGGGGAGCATCAGTTCGGTTCCTTTTCCTCCCGCAAGTCATGTATTCCATCATTGACACCCTCACACTTCCTTCCCGTTGGCCGAAGGACCCCTGACCAGCATTGATTACTCCCTGTATCAGGAGGATTGACTGACTGTGCTCTTTTCTTTGCCCAATTATGTGTTGGCCTTCCTTTGTGAAGGTCCTTTTTCTTTTTTTTTTCTTTTTGTTTGGCTCCTTTTTTTCAATTCTATACTCATGGATTATGACACAAGGAAGTCAGGGTCTAGGTTTTAGGTTTTATACAGAACTGACTATCTCCTTCACAAAGAAAGGGTCTATGTGGTATAGAGTCCATGTAGAGAAATGTCCTCCACAAGCAAAGTTAGGGTCTAGGGTATGGGGTTCACGAGGAGCTCATCATCTCCTCCACAAAGAAAATTAAGGTCTAGGGTTTAGGGTTTATGCGGCACCGACTAGGAGCTGATCATCTCCTCTACAAAGAATATTAGGGTCTAGGGTTTAGGGTTTATGCTGAACTGACCATGTCCTCCACAAAAAAAAGTTCAGGGTCTAGGGTATAGGGTTCATACAGACTCTGAGCTGACACACACAGCTGACTATCTCCTCCACTGATATTTTCTTTTTTTTCTTAGCTGTTCTCTTTCTCTGCAAATTGTCTTCCTTTATCAAGTTTTTCTCATATCCATTCCATATGCATGGTGGGTTCAAGGGTTTTGGGCACAGCAGCAGTGCCCACGTCCAGGAATGGTCTATGGGGTTTAAGAGTCTCTGTTCTTTGTTGACCGCTTGCTGGGTAAATTCTACACCTTAGCTTTTGCCTGACCTGCTCTTTTTGTGCCATAATTTGTGTTTCTTTGAGAAGGTCCTTTTTTTATATTCTTGAATTATGGCGTAGGAAGGTTAAGGTCTAGGGCTTAGGGTTTATGCATAACTAAGCCTCTCGTACACCATTGTCTTTCTTTGTTTGGTTTTGTCTTACGTGCTCTCTTCTGGTTCCAGTCGTCTTCCTTCATCAAGTTTCCCCTACACATTCATCTTGGGTTAAGGGTTTCGGCCACAGCAGTGGCAGCGGATATGTTTCCCCTACATTCCTCGCGTGTTTAGGGTTTCGGCCACAGCAGTGGCAGCGGATATGTCCAGTCCGCCATGTCCGGCACGGCCACCATGTCCGGCATGACCGCCATGGCGGTCATGGCAGACATGGAAGACATGGTGGACATGGCGGACATGGTGGACTGCACGTCCACGATGTCCGCCATGTCCGTCATGTGCGCCATGTGCGCGTCTGGGTCCAATCAATAGTTTGCTTGTCTTGTGTACATTGATGTAAAAACATGAAAAAGCAAAAGGGTTCTCCTTCCCCTATCGCCCCCCATTCGCATCCCTCCTCTGAGAAAATGCCCCAGGTCGTCCCCCTTCAGCACCCAATCATGCCCATGACTCAGCCCAGCCTTAGTCAACCCTCCACCCCCTGCCATGACTCCCTCTCCAGGACTTGAAAAGCGCCTTTCGTTGTCTGCGTCCTCACTGTCCCCCTTCGATACATATCAGCAAGATGCTTCCATGTACACTAGGGCCCCACTTGAAGCTCCTATGTGACATCATAAGCATCACTGCCAGAGCACTCTGGCTGCCCTCTCATGTCTTCCTAAGCAAACACAGCTGACATGAATGCCGTCCTTTCTGAGCTTTCTAAAAAGGAAAGCAAACTGAGAATCCATCCAATCAAATAACCCCTACGAAATAGTGTCCTGGACCCACACCGCACCCACAGCATGAATGCTTGACATGACACTACAAACCCTATCGGCTAGGCCCTGGTCTGAAACAAAAAAGGAAAAAAGAGCCCCACTGGCTAGCCTGGACACCGTCGTACCGTGTGCTCCGTAAAACACAGCCCAGAGGAATTACGCGCCGTACAATCTGTCTGAGCCGCCCACTATCAACCTGTAGTGCCTGTGTGTGTGTCTGTGTGTGTCTGTGTGTGGTTTGCCACGTTTGCTGTACACAACTCGACAAAGGACCATGACTCTGCTGGACTGTTTCATGGACTTGCACTGATTCATCATGTGTGTTAAAAAAAAAACCCTCTCTCTCTCATTCGTGTGTGTGTGTGTGGTTTGCCACGTTCGCTGTACACAACTTGACAAAAGACCATGACTCTGCTGGACTGTTTCACGGACTTGCACCGATTCATCATGTGTGTTTGAAAAAAAACACCTCTCTCTCTCATTCCATCCACAAATCATCACAAACCATCCAGAAAGCAAAAAAAAGGTATAGATGGACAATTTAGTAGAAGGTGCAAGGTTGGCCACGTTTGTGTGGTTAAGCGCCAAGCGTTCACACACCCGTCTGCAGACAAAGCACACCTGCACAAATTATATATGTACATATGTAAGGACCTGCCAAACACGCACTGAGAAACACAGCTGATTTCTGAGTTTTGCCAATGGAATGTATGCCTTACTGAGTTTCCCACTCGTTGCTGACTTTTCTAAGTCTGTGTGTGTGCGTGCTTGCTGATGTGCCTGCCTGTCTGAGTGCTTGTCGGGTTGAGTGTGTATGTGACCCGCAAGGGCACTTGTTCATTCAGAAGGCCCAAAGGGCCAGTACTTACCTGTGGCCGTGACATTGAGGGTTGCAGCGGGGAAAACACTGAAGTGGGGGGAAAAGAGGCCCGCGGCACTTAGAGCAGAGGAAAAACACTCGAGTAGCAGGTAGGCTGGTACCACACCAAGTAGAGGTAGATCTGCCGGGTGCTCGGGGCTGAGCAGAAGATGACAAAAGTTGGCATTTTTAGAGGCTCGGTAGTTGTAGGCTAGGTCTAGGCGGGTACCAGTCCAACCAGTCTGAGTCTAGGCCCTGTACGGGCAATATCAGAGTCTGCAGTTATGTTTCCCTTCGAACGGGAGGAGGTACTGGTTGCTTGGAGGCCATGCGGCCTGGAAGTCACCGCCCAAGAGGCAAGCAGGCTGCTATATCTCCAGGAGGAGCAAGGGCCTCCCTCAAGTAGGCAAGCTGGAGGGAATTACATATGAAGGACCGAACTTATCATCACCAATTACGTCCAGAACTTCCCATGGGCCATAATGGAGAAGGAGAAGTTTGTGTGACACCCCCTCGTCTTCCGAAAATTCAGACATCTTGACCGAAACATAACTTACCACTTCGATAGTCGAAGGTTTGCGCTTCTTATTCGCATGATGGATCATGGTGTGTTGTCGCTTGGTCATGTCTGCAATGGCAACCTTGAGCAAGCGATCATACTTGGCACTGAAGCCAGGCCTGCCAAGTGTTACCAGCCGGGGAATAAGTAGGAGAACAAATTACGAATCTTCCAGCCGTAATGCAGCCTATTTGGCGTCATATCGGTGGAAGAATGGATGGAGTTGTTGTACAACCCCTTGATCGAATACAACTCTTCATCCCAAGTTTTCTGATCCGGAATGATTAAGGTACGGAGAAGCTGAAACACGGTCTAATTGATCCCCTCAGCCAAACCGTTGGCTTCGGGATGTCGACCAGATGTCATCCTCATCTTGAGGCTAGGGAGTTGGGAAGTGAAATCCTTCCAATCAGTACTTATGAAGTGCGGGTCCCGATCACTCACAAGGGTTTTCGAGGTCCCGAACTGTAGAATGGACTTCTGGTGGAACTCACGGATCACGAGTTCAGTTGGGGCATGAGGTGGGAATGAAATCAGATTTAGGAATTTGGAAAAACGATCAACAATCACCATCACTTGCGAATTGCCATTCTTACTTGTCTTTCCCATGTTTGTGAAGTTAATAGAGACGGAAGAGGTTTAAGCAGCCCCATGGGCTTTTGCCTCGATGGTTTAATTCGTTGACAGACTTGACACTCAACCACAAACTTTTCAGCAAATCCTTTCAGACTCGGCCAGTCAAATTGTTGTAACAGGTTTCCGTAGGTTTTTGCCATGGGGAAGTGTCCACTCCGACCGTGAGCCAAATCCAAGAAGTGTGTGCGGAGAGGCTCATGGTTGGGTACACACAAAGGGTCATTTTTTCCGTAGCATCGGAAAACCAGTCCTTCGCATTCGTAAAAATCAGGCTGACTGCTGGGGTCAGCCCGCACCTACTCAAGGATTGGACTGAGATCCGGATCCTTGACAGTTTACTCCACGAGTTCCTCCTTCAGTTTCTTCTGGCGGTCGTAGGAGTTCCCAAGGCAAGTCATATACTTGGGGTGGCGAGACAATGCATCAGCAACTCGATTATAACAACCCTTCTTGTGCTTTAATTCAAAATTGAAAATGTCAATTTCATGGAACTAGCGACTCAACGCCGAAGACAAGGTAGTTTGCTCCTTGATCCACTTCAAGGTCTTGTGATCTGAGAAGACTTTGAAGTGGCGTGCGGAGAGATAGTGCGTGCAATAGTTGAGTGCCTCATGCAAAGCATAAAGCTCGCGCATGTAAGTTGAAGTAGCTACCTTTTCGTTGGGCATGGGTTTGCTGTAGTATTCGAGCGGACACAAGCCATCACCATCGTTTTGTTGCAACACTACGCCAATCCCATACTAGCTCGCATCCGTAGTGATTACGAATGTGAGTTTGGGATTTGCAATGCGGAGCACCGGATGACTCACCAAGGCCTTTTTCAAGGCTTGAAAGGCAGTCTCGCATGCCTCGTCCCATGCATAGGATATATTCTTACTCATTAGTCTAGACAATGGACGGGCAGTGATAGAGAATCGGGGCACAAACTTCCGATAGTATGATGCAAGGCCAAGGAAGGAACGCAATTCACGGACATTCGCTGGTTGAGGCCAGTTGCATATGACCTCAACCTTGGTTGCCTTAGGCTCAAGGCCTGTAGCAGACAACTGATGCCCTAGATAGATGAGGTTGGCCCTC